CGAGGCTAACACCTTGGAGGGTGTCGTGGCAAGTCAGGCACATGCCTGGGGGCCCTGATCGCCCCACGAAGAAAAAAACAATTTGTGCCGCGGGGGCTAGGAGGAGGAGGAGGAGGAGGAGGAGGAGGAGGAGGAGGAGGAGGAGAAGGAGGAAGAGGAGGAGGAGGAGGCGGAGGCGGAGGAGGCGGAGGAGGAGGAGGAGGAGCGGCGGCGAGGAGGCGGAGGAGGAGGAGAAGGAGGAGGAGGAGGCGGAGGCGGAGGAGGCGGAGGAGGAGGAGGCGGAGGAGGAGGAGCAGAGGCGGAGGAAGGTGGAGGAGGTGGAGGAGGGGGAGGAGGGGAGGAGGAGGAGGAGGAGGAGGCAGGAGGAGGAGCGAGGGAGGAGGAGGAGGAGGAGGAGGAGGAGGCGGAGGGAGGAGGAGGAGGAAGGTGGAGGAGGTGGAGGAGGAGGAGGAGGAGAGGCGGAGGAGGCGGAGGAGGTGGAGGAAGAGGGGGAAGAGGGGCCGCCAAGAAACAACTCGGGATGAAAGACCGATCCCGGGGAACTGGTCGAGAGGTCCGAGGCCCGTGTCCCCAAGGCGAGGCGCCGGATATATGTCTGGCCTGGTAGCGGTGCCACTGGCAGAGGTGGCACCTCACGCAGCTGTGGCCGTCCTTGATGGGCCTGTGTTCCACCACCACCACCACCATGAGTTGGAGGGGGAAGGAGGAGGACGACGAGGAAGAGGAGGAGGACGAAGACGAGGAGAAGGAGGAGGAGGAGGAGGAGGAGGAGGAGCTGGAAGAGGAGGGCGAGGAGGAGGAGGAGGTGGAGGAGGAGGACCCCCTCCCCCTCCAACTTATGGTGGTGGTGGTGGAAAACAGGCCCATCAGTCCTTGCACCCGCCCGTCTTGTTGAAGTATTTGCAGGGTGGTCCGCAGCAGAGGGGATGGCCGATCGAGCCCAGGCTGGGGCACTCGGAGTCTGTCTCGGGGCGGGGCGGCCTGCTCCAGAAGAGGCTGCCAGGCAACTCCGATGCCAAGGGGCTCTCCTGCGTGGACGCCCGGAATGGGTACTGAAAACATGCTTTCTGCTCAACAGCAAGTCCCACCAGCCCTCTGGGCGTAGGTGGTCTAGGGAGTTTCCTCTTCCAACACCCTTCTTCCCCTTCGGGGAGTGGTTTATCACTCTTCCATATATATATATATATATATATATAAAAACATACACTCCCTCTCCCAGGCGACCGGCGGCCAACCAGGAACCATCCCCACCATCCCTGTCAAAACACCATACGAACGCACTCTGCCTCCACATTTGGAGCATGCGCGGCCAACCTGATGCGGCCCCCTCCCACCATCTCTTCCAACAAAAACCAATACATTGTACACTTTAGGGCAAAATATTGAGTCATGTTCGTGATGCCCGCGAGCACTTCGTATTGTTGCTAACAGGGACGGCGGGGGTGTCAGCATATTGCCTGCTGTGCGCATGGCTATCAAGAACAATTCAACATTCACCTCGCGGTTAAATCTGGATCGTGCGCGGCAACCCAGCGATCACTGTCAAGTGGCTTTTGACAGGCTCGGCGGGGGTGGTGGCGTATGGCCTGTTGTGCGCAGGCCCACGAGACACAATAATGGGCATCGGTTCTCGACAGGTGAGCGTTTTTTCATTCGGCTTGTCGACATTGAGCGGAAAGGGGGGAGGGGGGGGTCTGGCTCCGGACCTCTGCTTAGCACGGCTGTTTGGAACCGTGCGTCCATTCTGGGTGAGACTCCACTGGCTCGAAACAGGTGCCAAAAAACAAAAATTTACTCCAAGGGGGGGAGGGGGGAGGGGTGCGAGGTCCTGTGACGATCGGCAAAACAGCGCATACAAAAACGACCACCAGGGATGGTGGGGGCCGACATGTTTCCCGATGTGTGCTGTCGCGTGCGCAGGCGCACCTGACACACTCTGCACGTGCCCCGAACGTTGCACACCTGGCCCGGCTGGAGTATGCAGCACACCTGGCGCACGTGGAGCACGTGGCGCATCTGGCGCGCCAGGCGTGCCTGGCACGCTCGGGCCCAGCGTGGAGCGACTGGCACGCGTGGCGCACGGCCCAGCGTGGTGCACATGGGATCGGTTTTGGTTCCCAGTAGCTGTCACGTGCTGTCACGTGCTCAGGCGCACCTGACACATTCTGCACGTGCCCCGAACGTGGCGCACCATGCGCGGCTGGAGCACCAGGCGTGCCTGGGATGCTCGGGACCCCCAGGGGTGCCTGGCGCGCGTGGCGCGCCTGGCACGCGTGGCGCACCGAGCCCCAGCGTCGCGCACATGTCGGGGGCACGCAAATATGGATTTGCGATCCATGGATTTGGCGTGCGGTCGTCAAATCCATGGATCGGGGGAAGTGCCCTCCCCAAAATGCGGCCGGTGCCGCCTCGTTCGGCGGCGGAAATCCGCGATTTCTCGTGGAAGCGGGACCCGTCGCTAATCCACGCCCTCTTGATCCATATTTGCGATCGCCTGAACATGGGGTCGGTTTTGGTTCCCAGTAGCTGTCCATCCAAAGACGCCCGCTGAACCTGCTCAGGCTCGGGCGTTACTGATGTGTTGTGAGGGCGGGCGGGGGTGATCTAGACGACTTGCTGTCTAGGGGGTGTCTTGACCCCTCCCCCTACCCCCTCCCCTGGACCTGGACGGGGGGGGCCGTGAGGCGTTGGAGCGTCCAAGATGGCCCAAGACGGCTCCAAGACGGCCCCTGAGAGTCCAAGATGAGCTCCAAGATGGCTGAAGATAGCGCACGGTGCCTCAAGATGGCTCCCAAGATGCTCTAAGAGGCCCCAAGAACGGTCGAAGACGACTCCAAGAGGCGTCCGAGACCCCCAAGGAGGCCCCCAAGAAGCATATATCCTTCAAATACCTACAGGAAATCAATGATGGTCGCCTTTTCGCTTCCGATGGCCATTCGAGGCCTCAAGATGGCTCCAAGATGGCCCAAGAGAGCCCCAGGAGCGGCCCAAGAGAGCCCCAAGGCGGCCCCCAGAGCGCCCCAGAGCACCCCAAGAGCGCTCCCAGAGAGGCCCAGGAGGCGATGTTCGGTGCTCCCGAGGGGGGAGGCTAAGTGACTCATTAAAGATCCCCTTTTGTTGATCGATGTCCTCCAAGATGGCCCCAAGAGCGCCCCTGAAGCTCCCAAGAGCGCCCCAAGAGGGCCCCAAGAGGCACCCAGACTGCCCCACGAGGCCTCCAAGAGGCTCCCAAGAGACCCCATACAAGGCCTCAAGAAAATCCTCGAGGTACCCAACTCTCCCTCCTTCTCCTTCTCCTCATTCTCGTCCACCTCGTCCTCGCCCTACTCCACCTCCTCCTCCTCCTCTTCCTCTTCCTCCTCTTCCTCCTCCTCCTGCTCCTCCTCCTCCGACGACGACGATTCCTCCTCCACCCTCACCCTCTTGGGGTATATGACGGCTTCCCCGGCCCTTTGTTTTTCTGCATGCGCCCTCACTTCCCTGATCACCTCGACTCCCATGGGCATCGTTTCTGGATGTGGTCTGAAACCAACAGCGGCCGCTGTTGGGCAGGCGGCCTCCTGTCTTAAGTAGGCAAGGCCCAAGGCGGCACCAACAGCAAGCCCTGTCAAAAATGGACAGGAACTCAGAGTGCACTGGCGAGTGGAAAACATCGAGCACCACATCGAGCCGCATCGCCGATGCATCGGCAATGCGGCGCGATCCTCCGACCCCATCTAATCCGACCCCATCTGGGAGGCCTCGATCTCTGCACCCACTCTTCCCGTACCCTATTTCGATCGCACCGATCTCAGCTGCCCCGATGCGCAACACGCAACACGTAGCGTATTGAGACGGAGCTCAACACGTAGACTTAAGTCGGGCCTGTCTTCCTACAGGGGGTTTTAAACGAACAAAGAAAACAACTAATCAAGCAATGCCCAACAATTGTGACAAGTCTTAAAACCATCGTTCCTGGACTATGTTTCGACAATATTTGAATCTTCTTCCTGTAGAGGGACAGGCCCGACTGAAACGTAGACTGGAAACGCAGGTCTGCCGCGGTGCAGTCGCCGGAGAGTGGGCCCACACGCCGAGCCGACACGCAACGCACGGGCACGGACGTGCTGCGCAGGGCGCGTGCTGCGTAGCAGAGCGGGCCCGCCGAGGCAGCCAAGGTACCGATGCTTTTTGGACGCCCGACATGGGTAGGGAAAAAAATGTACAATGCCCAACAGCAAATGTTGTCCCACAAACCAACAGCGACCGCTGCTGGGCAGGCGGCCTCCTGTCTCGGACGGACACAGGCCGCGGCGGCGCGGACAGCGAGTCCTGCTCCAACATGGCCAGGAACTGCTGTTGGGCATTGTACCCATTCTTTTCGTACCCATTTCTTGAGCAGCGACCGACCGTCCAGGCATTCCTATAGTCATACCACGATTTGTTCCTAGAGCCCAAAAATGTTCGAAGAAAGGAAACAATGTTCTTAGAACATAATCCCGATGTGTTAAAACAAGACAGACTCCGCCAGAAATGCTCTGAGAACACTTCGTGGAAACCACGAAAGGTTCTTAGAACACTGTGTGGTAGGGCTATAGGCGAGCCAGGACGCTTCGCCACTGCTTGAATTTCGTTCGTGCAAAGGGGGGGTCTGAGAATCAGCTCGCGTAGCTGATTTTCCCGGCGCCTCCTGGCGCCTATGTATCGAGGAATGGGCCCCTCGGTGGGGCCGAAACCAGCTGCACGCGGCAAATTTCGTACCCCTCCTTTCCCCAACGCCCCCTTTCGTCCGGCCCGAATTTCGTTCGTGCAGCTCCTTGCTTGCCGCTGCCTGGCCTGCCGCGTCGTGGAGGGGTGACAAAAAATGAGCCTCCCAGGGACGGACAAAGGACGCCCCGGCGACCCGCGGCCCCCCCTCTCCAGGCCCAGGGGGAGGGGCAAACCCCTCCCCGAAGGGGAAGAAGGGGGTTGAGAACAGAGAGGACTATCTAAACCGCTCACGCCCTATAAAGGGCTGGTGGTATTTCGTTCGTGCAGCTCCTTGCTCGCCGCTGCCTGGCCTGCCGCGCCGTGGAGCTGCGAGCCGTCGGCCCTCTGCACCGCCGCGGGCGCGGCCTGCGCCTCCGCGGGCTCCCGCTCGCCGGCGCCGTCGCCGGCGCTGCCCGGGCCCCTGCGGGCCTCGAGCGGCTGGCGGCGCCAGTGGCACAAGTGGCACTCCTGAAGGGCTCCTCCTCCTCCTCCTCCTCCTCCTCCGCCTCCTCCGCCTGGGAGGACGGTGGCTGGAGGGGGGGGGGAATGCAGGTGCCCTCTTCGAGCCCCACACGCCCCTTCTGGGCCCAAGAGGGCCCCTTTTCGGCAGCCCTCGCTGCTCCCCCCCATGCATCTATACAGATCTATATGTGTGTATAGATATACATGTATGTGTATATATATACATATATATATACATATTCTCATACGCACCTCTCCGAGGGAGTAGAACTCAGAGGCGATTAATGCGCACGTCGTCCGCGATTTTTCTGGCCGTTTCGCTCGGGACATCCTCGAAATTCTGAAAATCGGTGGCACCCCTCACGCAGATCGTGACGTCAGGGTCCAAAAACACATGGGAGCTTCAACATGTTAACATAAAACCTTCAAAAACACATGGTAATTTCAATAATTTTGACCCCGATTCTCAGAGAATGGCGGTTTCGCCTGAGACATCCTCCCAAAATCGAGCCCCAGACCCCTCCTCGGAGCCTCCTGGGGGCCTCCTGGAACCTCCTGGGGCCTCCTGGGGCTTTCTGGACCTTCTGGTACCCCAGACCCCGCCTCGGAGCCTCCTGGAGTTCTCCTGGGCCTGCTGAGGCCGCCTGGGGCCTCCTGGGGCCTCCTGGGGCTTCAGAACTACATGCACACACAGAGACACAAATCACGCCCAACACATCACACGCTAGACAAACATAACATACACACACACACAACACCGACAACACACAAAAAGCACGCACCACACAAAGCACACATCACACACACACACAACACTCACAATCCTGGGGCCTCCTGGAGCCTCTTCTGGTATCCAAGTCGGGCCTCCTGAGGCTTCCTGGGGGGCCCTGGTACACACATCGCAAGGTGTGGCAACCCCACTTGCGCTCGAGTGCGACTTCGCTGTTGCATGTCACTCCTGCTTCTAACGCCCCTTCAGCTTGTTGTATGAGCCTGGGTACACACGTGCCACTTGTATATGTGCATCGCCCCCCCATTGGACGCGAACCCCCAAACTCCGGACAGGCCGCCCCGTTCCGGCAGCCGCCCCTGCGCTTCCGGTACTTGCAGGGCGCTGCGCAGCACGCGGGGTGCCCCCTGGAGCCGACCGAGGGCTCCACCGCGGGGGGGCACTGCAGCGAGGCCCGGTCGCCTGCGGCGCCGCCGTCGCTGCAGGCGGCGCGGGCGCCGGAGGCCCCGCAGAGGTGGCACTTCTTGCACAGGTGGCCATGCGGGCAGCCCGCCGGCAGGCTGGCGTGCTCGCAGGGGGCCGCGCAGCTGAGCGGGTGGCCAACGGTCCCGATGGAGACTGTCATGGGGCGGGCCTGCTGCTCGTCCATCTCGCGGGACAGCCGTGTGCAGTCGACCGTCGCGGGCTCCGCCAGCGACGGCGTGCCGAGCCAGGCGCCGTCGGGCGGTGCCGCCTGGAGCTGCGACAGCTTGCACGACAGGCGCTCGCAATCGATGCCCCCGGGCCTCTGCTTCACGGGGGTCTCGGCCCCGGCGCTCGGCTGCCACGCCGCGGCATCGTCAACCAGCTCCTCCACCCATTCCACGATCGGCGGCGGGTCCGGGGTGTCTGCGCCGAGCCGGACCGCCCTGCGCCTCGGTGGAGCTTCTGTTAGCCCCGCCGGGACCTTGAGCTTCATCGGCGCCCCGTCGGGAGCATCGCTCGCCCACGAATGGGCCATCGCCTTCTGCGTGTTCGGATACCTGGGCGACGTCCAGCCCACGCGCCAAGCGCGGCACCTGCGGCGCTCTCGAACGGAGAGCAGTCGAGCCAAAGTGGTTCCATTTCGACGTCGCCGTCGTCGCCGCCGCCGAACTCTATCACGAATATTTCCGCGATGGCATGCCTATCAATGGTGGCCAGAAAAAAGCAAAGGCAACGCGTGGAACATCAGCACAAGAGACATTGTTCCCAACCATCCTGTGGTGTTGGGTCCTCGTTTTGAAGAAGCAGCGCCCCGTGTTCCTTCCTTCTTCCTTCCCCCTCCGCCTCCTCCTCCTCCTCCTCCTCCTCCCTCCTCCCATCCCTGCCTTTGCCCTCTGCGCCAGTCTACCATTTTGGCACACCCCTCACATGTTTCGTGGCCCCATCGGAATTTCCACTGAAGGCCCCAGCGGCAGGGTCCACATGGCGGCGTCGCCACATGGCGGCGCATCGTTTACACGATTCGTGGCCATAACGGGAGCTCCACCGAACGCCCCAGAGGCACGGTCCACATGGCGGCGCCGCCGCCCCATTTTAGTCTCCACACGGTTTGTGACCCCAATGGGAGATCAGCCGAAGGCCCCAGTGGCAGGGTCCACATGGCGGCGCCGCCGCAATTTGGCGCACCCCTCAGACGGTTCGTGGCCCCGCAGGGACCTCCACCGAAGGTCCCAGCGGCAGGGTCCACATGGCGGCGCCGCCCCATTTGGGCGCATCCCTCGCACGGTTCATGGCCCTATAGGGATCTAAGCCGAAGGCCCCAGTGGCAGGGTCCACATGGCGGCGCCGCCCCTTTTGGTGCACTCCTCACTCGGCTCGTGGCCCAATAGGGAGCTCCACCCAAGGCCCAACTGGCGGGGTTCGCATGGCGGTGCAGTCCCATGCGGGCGCAACCTTTACATGGTTTGTGGAGCCACAGGGAGCTCCACCGAAGGCCTCAGTAGCAGGGTCCACATGGCGGCGTCGCCCCATTTTGGCGCATCCCGCACACGGTTTGTGGCCCCATAGGAAGCTCCACCGAAGGCTTCAGCAGCAGGGTCCATATGGCGGCGCCGCCCATGTTTGGCGCGCCCCTCCCACAGTCCACATAAGGAGCTCCACCGAAGGCCCCAACGGCACGTTCCACCCGGCGGCACCGCCCCATCTGGCGCACCCCTCAGACGGTTCGTGGCCCTATAGGGATCTCAGCCGAACGCCCCAATGGCGCGGTCCACATGGCGGCGCCGCTCCATTTTTGGCGCACCGTTCAAGCGGTTCGTAGCCTCAAAAGGATCTCAACCGAAGGCCCCAGGAGGGCTTGTGGCCCCATGGGGAGCTCCACCGAAAGCGGTGCCACGAAACGGTACTCACAACTGCATTCTGGCGAGTCCTTCGCCTGGATCAATCTGTTTAGTTCCAACCTCCCAGTTCTCGCTGGCGTTTTAGGTTTCTTGTCGACAAGGTGGTTCGGGGCAAAGTCCCAAGAAATGCATAACCGATCACGTCCAATTATATGATATAGACGCGGTCGCTCACCGGCTTCAACCCTCCGAGCAACAGCACGGGAGTCATCGTTGCCAACGCTACCCCCGTGGCCAACATTCTCCTTCCCAAATCTGGTCATTGTATAATCACGACGGGGCCAGCGCGTCCTGACACCGAAGACTCTCATGAGACGTGGCGTCTCGCTGCATGCTGCAAATGTCCGCAAACCTGTGGCGGCACCATCATTTTACCATGAACCATCGTCGCTGCGCAAACACACATTCGATCCACCCACCTCTGCGTCCCGCAGGTGACATTGCTGGACTCAATACCACAAGCACTCCCCATACATTAGTTTGCATGATTCGCACCTCCCTCCTACTTCCCATCCTCCTCGTCCTGGTCCTCGTCCTGGTGTTCCTCGTCGTCCTCGTCTTCCTTTCCTCGTTCTCGAATTTCTGTCCCTGTGTCCTCTCCATATATCCTTTACACCTCCTGCTGTTCCTCCTCCTCCTCCACATCCTCCTCATGTGAGCTCGACGAGCCTCATGAGCCCTACGAGTCCAGAGAGCCCTGTAAGCCTGTAAGCCCCATGCCGCCTATAAGCCTTACAAGCCTTACGAGCCGAACTCTATCAGCCCCTCGGGCCCCACGAGCCGCATGGCCCCAAAGAGCCTACAGCGCCCTATGAGCCATATGAGCTCCATGGGCCCGATGAACCCTATGACCCCACCGGCCTCTTTCGAATCCCACGAGCTTTCTGAGCAAGGTGGCCACACTGACCCCTATGAGGCCCATGAGCATCATGAGCCGGATGAGCCTGCCCGCCCGCTTTCTGGGGCCCACGAGCCCGTGCTTTCTTTACGAGCCCTAGACCTCCCATGATTAGGAACTCTATGCGCCCAATGACGCCTGCGGGCCCGCGGAACCTCATGATCACCATGAGCCGCGCTGGCTGAATTACCCCTCTTCCAAACAAGGCTCCGAGCCTCGGAGCCCAAATGGCAGAGCAGAGCCCTTTCAGCCCTCTGACCTGGTAGAGCCGTTGGGTCCTGTCAGCCTCGCGTGATCCATGGACCCCGTAGCCGAAGCGCATCGCGGTACTGGCGTGTACCAGTCGCGGCGAGTCTCTCTGGCGCTATCCGACCAAGATTTTAAAAGCGAAGCGACGCGAGCCGGTAAACTCTTGTGTGTACTTACGTCAATACAGGTGCATGCCTGGAAAACATGCCTGGAATCCATACATACATTTATGGAGAGAAAGCAGTTCGGCTAGCGAGGGGCCCAACAATATGGGGCCGAGTGCAGCGCAAAGGTTGTCCCTCTCCTCATAGGCTGCGTACCGCGAAAGCAACGGAGATTGGGCCCGCGCGGGGGGGGGGGGGAAACGGCCACAGGGAACCACAGTGCTGTAGCTCCCAAGCTTCCAACGGGGCACGCTCTTCGCGAGGGGGGGGGTCGAGGTGGGCGCCGCCATGCATGTGGAGAGCTGGAACTCCCCTATGGCCTATCTGGCACGCTCCGTGCGATGGATGCCCGGAGAGGGGCGCCGCCCAGCATACACGGTCGAGCCCCTCGCGAAGCAGGTGGGGG